AGGAAGGAAAAATTATTGCGGGTTTTTTTTTTTCACGTTAAAGTGCATGTTTATGCCCCAGAGTGGCATAAATATGAACCAAACCGTGCGCACTTTACTCGGTCATATTCTTAAGAACGCTTTCCATTAAAAAAAAAAAAAAAAAAAAAAAAAAAAAAAAAAAAAAAAAAATGAAAACTCTAATTCCAAATTCTCTAAAGTGCATTCACAAAGAAGAGTATGGGCACTCAGTCGTATTCAAACTGCCTAGGGCCCAAAAATGAAAGTAGTAGTAGTAAAATAATTTTATTTTAAAGCGGTGCTTTAGCATCTAAAGAAACCTTGAATGAAAAGAGAATAATTGTTGCCAAATTTTATCAATAAACATTTATTTGCGAATAAGGAATTTTGCAAATGGAAGGTGAAAAATAGTTTTCAATATAAATCGATATAGTGTATTATGATTTTGGCAAAATTGGCTGTAAAATAATCATATAAAGCCAAATTTTTTGTAATTTCAACCCATGTCTGTATGAAATCTCCACCAATGTCGTGCCTTAGACAGTGCAAGTACCCTAAAACGGTTAAGTGAATCAACAATGGAACGTGTAGTGTTCATTTTCTCCGTATGAGGGTATTTTAGACTTTATCGCGTCATAAAACCTCTCAAATCTATCTAGACCCCGACAGATATTCGGGAGTTTTCATTTACTTATCCTTCGGTGCAACACCGTGGAGGTTCGCCCGCGATATTTAATTTAAAAGCATTCAAAAGCTGAGAGGAAACAACTGCGAGACCCCGATTAAGTGAAGAGGGGGATCGAAGGTGGTTGAATTCCGAGGAAACTCGAGATTTGAAGCTTTTATCCGTTTTCCACGTCACACTACACGACGTCTCTATCTCTTCCTGCGAGACCTCCCCCCGGATCATCCCCCGGATCACACCCTCTCGATGCCGCGTTATTTTTTCATTTAGTGGCTCGACTTTCCTCTTTCAAGTTCATCCGTGTTTTTAGCCTCTTCGGAATTTTTGAGGCCTCGTTTTGCCGTCGCTTGACTGACAAAAAGTCATAAATGAATTTAGAGATGAGCTCAGGGAAGCATTATGTTAAATGGACGATAGGGTTCATTGCGAAGTGCAATTACGTCCTTGCATCAGGAGGCCGACGTTGTTATATCACCGGGATCGATGGGCACATGACCTTTTAAATCCAATTAATCGTTCATCAACATTTTTCAGACCAAACATAACCTTCCAAAAGCCTCGTTTTGACCTTTGGAAGTTTGAATACTAAAATATTTGAGACCAGAGACAATATTTTACAGATACCACGCACTCATGATTCGATCGATGTGATTGGATGAGAAAAAAATTCGAGTCTTTCTGGGAAAGTTGGCTTGGACATTATGCTCTTTGTAACTAAAGCATAATAATAAATAATATTAATAAAACTCGTCATTTTTGAAGGAGAGGCCTCTCCAAAGCGGAAGTATGTCGGGTTCGGAGTTCAGTTTGGTTGATTAATTAGGGTTCGATTATTCTGAGTGTAGGAGCTTTTGCTATTCTGTCCTATTCCTTGCTGTTTCCATCCATTCCTCGCCTGCTCTCTTCACAATCTCGTCCGTCCATCTTTTTCTACGTCTTTCTTTCCTTCTTTTTTATGTCGGGTTTCCATCTCGTGTTGCACATTATTATTGTCTTGCTCCTTATTTGTTCCACTCAACTCTATTTTAGTTCATTTGCAATCTCCGAGATTTCAGTTCAACTAGTGCTAAACTTAAGCAACCTCCTCCTCTAAATCAGTTATTTAAATGTTTAATAAGGACGTACCTACGTTTAAAGAGCTATTATGGTAGAATCACTCGTCTTTATGATGCATCCGCCCTTAAAAGTACTCACGGAAAAAAATCAAATCGGAGATTTAACAATACATACATTCGAGTCGCTTTACAGCGCGCCCGGGCGCTCTGCGACACCTAACCGGCATCCTTGCCTAGCGATCCAGAGGTCATCTGGTAAATGGCATCTTGTGATTTCATCTTGAATGCCACCCATTCACGATTTTACTGGACGTCCCCTACGTCTTCTCCCAGGAGGAACCCAATCTATCTAAGATTTAACAATGCAATTGTTAAAAAACTGCCATGTTTCAATATATAAATTTTACAATAAAAAAATGCTACTTTAATCACACCCGTAATTACTATTGTAAAATGTATATTTGAAACATGGCGGTCACTTTTTTAAAGAATTGAATTGTTAAATCAGCAATCCATTATTTCCAGTACTCGGCCGAAAACTCAATATGTGAACATTTTGCGGTCACTTTTCTTGAAAGAGGAATAAACAAGATTGACACGGTCTTCTTCTTATTTTCTTTTTCTTCTTCTTCTTGTCCTTCTCCTTCTATTTATTTTTCTTCATTTTGCCAACTTTCAATAATGGCTACTGTGTAAAGCGTTGTTGCTGCGTTGTTTTTCTCGGCGTGTAGTTGGACGGAAGATGGGGAGTGGGATCTGAGTTGGTGGCAAGTGAAGATGGCAGGTGATGCGGATGCGTGTTTTTGGCCGGGATGAATCCCTAATCAAGCGTTCGCTCGGCGGGTGATTAAGATGAGCGCTCGCTCCATTTCCATATCACCGGATCCACCGCCAACTTTCTCCAGAAACTTTCTTCGCGGCTCAAGCCCCCCCCCCCCCGTTCCCGTTCCAGGGAGGAATGCAGAGCAGATTAGCATGTTGATCTCCTAAAACAGCACACGCCGAACTTGTTCCACCGGGCCGTAATTCCGTGTTCTCCCTGGATTCCTCCATCCAGATTCCTTGCACGGAGTTCCGTCGCACAATGGCAGTATTTCTCATTTTCAGGCCGACTGGGTGACCGTATTCTTCTTCTTAGTTTCTTTTTCTTCTCCTTCTCCTTGCCTTCTCCTTCAATTTCTATTTCTTCTATTTATTTTTCTTTTTCGATTCTTTTTTCCTTTTTCTCCCTCTTCTATTTCTTTTTCTTCTTATTTTTTCTTCTTTTTCTTCTTTTCCTTCTACTTCCTCTCCCTCTTTTTCTCCTTCTATTTATTTTTCTTTTTCTTCTTCTATTTCTTATTCTTTTTTAATTCTTTTTTCTTTTTTGATTCTTTTTTCTTTTTCAATTTTTTTTCTTTTTCTTCCCCTCCAATTCCTTTTCCTTCTATTTCTCATTTTTCTTATTTTCTTATTTTTATTTCTCTTCTTTCACGATCGACTAGGGCATAGTTTGTCAGGCCATCTAAAACCGAGCACATTAAATCATGAATACATCACTGTCAGTAAAACCTAGAAAAAATTGGACCACGTTTGGCAGAAAGAAACCAAGCCACATCAGCTATTCCCACTTTCAATTGGGCAGTTTGAGTTGTTACAAGGGGAAGTTTTTGAGGATTCTTTTAAAAATGTTAAAGAATTTGCTTTGTACTATGCAAAAATTCACCGAAATTTTCACAAAAATCCGCACGACCGTGTTTAAATAAAAAATTATGTACCTCAATTCCATTTGGTAATAGCTGATGCAGCGAAATTACATTCTTCTTAAAACGGTCAAATTTAAAAAAAAGTTGTCATGTTACTTTTATGATGAATTGGACACTATGTTTCAAAATGAGCCTCTAAGTAAGGTATGAAGAAAAGCACTACGTAACGAAATTTTCTTAAGAATGTTTTTAGGAAACCGAAGGTAACGCTGCATTGCTTATCTAGTCTTTCAAGCACCACAACTAAGACAAACGAAATTGAGCACAATAGGTACACATAGAGATAGAGCATGGGAAGGGACGCACATTGATGACGGCGCGGCGCAGAGATGCAACTATTCGTGATTGATGGATGTCCGCGTTGCATCTGCAAAATTGAAGGCGCACTGGCGTGAGGCGCAAACTCGCTACGCCCGACTCTATGCAGACGGGTTCAAAGTTCCCGTCAATAAGAGTTCAACAGTAAACAATGCGATGAAGTTGAAATTCTCCTGAAGACTCCATTGTCTCACCACTGCGCGACTCTTAACAAGTCGCTCGTTGAGCATTCGAGTTGCGTCTCAAGTTGCGCCAAAAGAATCCGGTGGTGTTTGCGGTGCGCCCTGGCGCGCCGACTCCCGGAAACACAGCTGCAACCGACTAGAACACGAAACAAAGTTTCCTCCAGTTAGATAGTGGTCCGCCAGCTCAGTTAAAACAATGATGCTAAAGCAATATTCGCTCAACAGTTGCGCAAAATTATTGGATTCATTGGCAGAATATTGCGCCAGTATTCACGGGAAAAATGAAATTGCTCATTTAACAATTAAATTGTTAAATAATATGTCCGACATGTTTCAATGTAGAATTTACTATAAAAAATGCTAATCTAACCACCCCCGCGGTTAAATTTACTTTTTACCGGACACATTTTTCAACAATTTAACTGTCAAATCAGCAATCCATTTTTTTCCGCGTTGAATCAGTGCTTAAAATGTATCATCAATGGGTTTCAATAAGTGATAGTTGGGTTGGCACAAGAACAGACCTGAGGTATAAAACCAAATTTTGAGATGTTGCCAAGGATAGTCGGACGTATTTCTGCTACATGGAACTAAATGTCAATTTTGGTTCCTTTTGCGGAGTAAAGAATCCCAGATATAGCGCGCTCTGTCAAACGGATCCAAGCGCCATGGAAAATACAGTGGACAGAACGACAGACAGGCGCATAGGACAGAAAGAGCCCGTCGTTCGACTGCACTGCCCTGTTAAGGAAAAACGCCGTATGAACCTTCAAGCGTTGTCAAATATCCTTTGATAAAACACGAATTTCCTGGTAAACATATGAATATTTTTCTTCCAATTTTTCATGTAATTTTGTTCGCAATTTCAACTAAAGTTCCTGAAAATTTAAAGGAAAGTTCATTTTCCTATTCATTTATTCCCTTCTTCAGTGTCATTCATCTGCAGTATTCATTGAGTTGTGAATTTTCCAAGTCACTGTTGCTAACAGGTCGTATTTTTCTTATGTTTCAGGAACGACCTCAAGTCACCAATAGAATCCGCTGATGTCTCCTCACAAAGGTATTTCATTTTTATCACTTTGCCAGTGCGATCATTCTTAATGTTTTTCTTTCCTTTTCTTTTCTATTTTTAATATTTTGAGAGAGTTGAAGGATGAGAATTTCATTTTTACATCACTCTTACATTTTGGCTGTGATTCATGTTACAATGGTTATAAGGAATTTTCGTTAAACAACAGAAAATGACGCCAATAATTGGGAAAGATATCAATCGTTTTTGATAAATCAATGAAATTCCAAGCAGAACTTAGCAACGTTGCAATGCAATTAAGTTCCCTCAGATTTAGCTCCCTCTTTGTTCTTCTCTTAAATAGGGGGACATAATATTGGAAGCTACGGGACAGTCCCACGTTTATTTCATCGTAGCTCGGTCTCGTTCACTTTTTCGTCAAAATCTCCTAAAATTCTTTTGGACCTGCTCCGCGGCGAATAATCCCTCCTGTTCTGGTAAAAATTGTTTTTTGTGTATACGCTCTTTCTTTCACTTTCCAGAAGGACCGTTCGAAGAAGAGAGACGTAAGTCTAACGAGATCGCGATGACGTTTACGCTCTTATCCAACAGAACAGTTCCATTCTGCTTAAGCCAGTATTATGTAGGAACGTGCACCAGCTCAAGTAAGAGGCTTTCAACATCAGCGAAAAGAAGCAGCTTTTTTTTTGAGGCTTGTAAACATTGAGAATAAATTTTCTCGCTGCAAAGGCAAGCGCTGTTGCCGAGCTGTTGACAAAACAATGAATTTCAATAATCTGTAGACGTGTTTTAAACTTTTTTTTGACAGCCTACGCAGAAAAAAGTCGTTCAGAAACGATGTGCGTCACTAATATTGAGTGGGGGTGGGTGGGGGGGGGGGNGTTAGGGAGGTTGATAAAAAACATCAGAAAAATTCCTGCCGTAAGCAGTGGATGATTCTAACGAGACTCTCACAAAAGAAAACTTTTCGCATCGAAAAAAATTACTAATCGAATAGAAAGGAACGACCATGGGATCATTTTGTCAAGTCGGGTCGAATATCGTCGCTTTTCTGACAAAGAACTATCTCGATTTCCGCATGAGCCCTAAAAATCATAAATTATTATGTATAACAGAGTTTACGTGAAAATTGTGGTACGCCCTTACGTCAGGCGGGCAACGATATTTGGTGCGTATTGAAGGCCAAACGGAAAAAGGCACCTGTAGTATCCCCAAAAATAAGTTAAGTGAGGCTCAATTTTTTTCTGTTTCAACTGAGAACGAAAAGTTGCGTTCAAGCCAAAATTTTAAGTTACGAACATAGTAATACTACAATTTTCAATGGTGTTTACCTCGTAGGAAATTTGTTTCATTTTAGTCCGTAAACTTGTTTGACTTAAGTACACATGAAGTTCACAAAAATTGCTCCCTTGAAGACGAAAAAGTTTGTCAAACGGCGGAGAGATAGCTGCCTTCCTCAAATGACGTGTAGAGCACAGTGGCAAGTGAAACGCGAAAACGTCACCTATACAACAACACCTTGATGCAACTATTCGTATCTGATGAATGCGCGTGTTGCATGACCAAGAATTGAAGGCGTTTTCGCCTCCTTTTCAATGAGCTACTAGACAGGACGCATTACTCTAAGCATTACTTTACTTACGCAGGACTTTGCGCATTATATGATGTGTGATTTCTGATCCAAATTTCACGCAGAACATGATTTTTGCAACGAGACTGTTGAAAGTAGCTCTTAACAAAGATATTAAAATTTTTCGATGCATAAATTGAAACATTCCGCTCATAATAGAAAAGGAAATAATCTCCTCGAGTAAAATCATACACTAAACACTATACCATGACAGTTTCTATAGTATGAAGATGTGACAACCTGAATCCGGAACTCATGTTTTGCGTGGAATTTTGGAGAGGAAATATTCATCGATGGCCAAAGTGCAAAACCACGTATCTCCGTTTGTGATGTTGCAGACTTCCCACCATACTCAATAAATTTTTTGGGGAGCCAGTCCACCTTATCGTATTTTTGGAAAATTCCTTAATTTCTTTTTTTTCTGTCATCAGAATATTGTGTATAGAAATCAAGGTGTAAAGTTGATTTATATCTTTTTGAAAAAATAATGAAGGAGCGGGAATGTTGAAACATCGCAGCGAGAGCACGTGGTTTTGCATTGCAGTCATCGATACCCAGAAGAGGGCGGCTCTTGACTTGAAAACACTGTTTTCATTGGCTCTCTGGAGGAAAAATGTAACCTCCTATTGTCTTGCCTGAAACTACGTCATTTTTTGCGCCCATACGGCTTTCTTATATGTATGTCTCGTTTTTTTTTACAATTTAAATGAATTACGCTGTTTTAGCTGCTCTAGTGATTTCATCTAAAAGAGATCGGACGAATTTTGAAGGAAACTGGATTTCGAAAATTTTACACTTACTGCTCTGTTAGCCATGACGGGAGTATAGAGATAGATTGATTATGAAAAGTGGCAACGGAGGCGTCACGTTTATCGGGATTCGATCCCGGGGATTGGACCGAGGCCGGGGCGAAAGTGCTTAGCAAATCGGCATTAGCGCGTTAAAGCGTCAGCGTGAGGTTGAGCCGTTGCCTTTGCCGTGCGCCCCTCCGCCCCCGCGCCCCGCTTCGGAGACACAGGTGCTTGCCGGGGGAGCCTGATCCGATTTGCAGCCCTGTCGCTCATACACGCCCCCTCCACCCCCCTCTCCCGTCGAAAGCGGGTTTTCCCGTCAACGCCATTCGGAACTGAGGCTCCGGAGGCCGGATCTCCGGTGCCGGAGCAAAGGGTGTTACGCACTCATATCCGAGCCCAATTTCGTAACAATCTGACCTGCCAACCGATTACTGAAATTCATAGACACAGTCGTAGATAAAGAAAACCAATGGAAAATGGAGTGATCCTACTGGTGAAAAGTAGGTAATAGGCAGTAGCGTCATTTTACCAAAACCTTGGGGGGGGGGGGGGGGAGTGGCCAAATATGACCCCTCATGATATCGCAGTAAAAAATTGTCCATCTCCCGTTTACACGGCAGCGAGAGATTCTCTCGTCGCTATTTTTCGTAGAATATGGTTGAATAACAATTAATTTAAAAAAAAAAATCAAGTTTTCAGAAATTCAATCAATTTGTCTCGTTTTAATCTAGGTCTCCTTAAACAACCCCCCCCCCCCAGACGCCACCGGATAGACTAAGGCTGAATAGACAAGGCGATTCGGCACCGAGGTTCCTGAAGCCGGATATTTGGTATCGGAGCAAAGGGTGTTACGACTGTTACGCACTCCAATTGGAGACGAATTTGATGAAGATACGGGACGATTTTTGAAATTGATGGACAAAGTGATAGACGAAGAAGACCAATGGAAATTAGAGCGATCTTATTGGAGTAAGCGGGAGGTTGAAATTGGACAGTACGTATGAACTAATAATCGTAACGGACGGTAACCTCGCGAAACGTCAAATATTTTGGTTCGACATTTATTTCAGCAATTTTCATCGCGCGGATCGTGTTCTACGCGAAATTTAGTGAAAGACAAGTTATGTATTAGAATGCTTAAATTCGTTAACCTTGTCCAGCGGTTCGTCATTTTCGAAGAGATAACTACTGTATACGGAGTATGCTATCTTGCTTACCTTCATAATTTAAGGCGATATACTAATGTGCGTCTTTCTTGGTGTCGATTCTGCTTCCCTCAAAATGTCATTCAGAAAACGGTGCTGCTTTTAACCGTGTGAGTTTTAGAGAGGATTTCAAGTCTCCGAGACGATGCATGAGACGATGCAAAACGAAGGCTAAAATTAGGAATATCAGCGTGATGTAATGGATGATCAGTCCTTTCTCACAAAATTCATTAGCGTTGTTTCTCCTTTTGGAGGGAAAAGCATCCCCCGCACATTGACTTCGATGATTGATCAGCGGTCGAAATGGAAATTTTTGTTTACGTCAGAATCACCTGTTAGGAGGCAAATTTTATTTATAGATCGTACACCCATCTGTTTCCGGTTTTCCGAGTTATCATTGGTGATGAAATGAGAGGCTAAAATGAAATAGGCTGGATTTGAGTTTGCATCCTAGAGACAACGTACCTTATTTGGACGTATTTATGCTAAAAACAACTATGTGGAAGTGGAAAGATGGGGTGTACTTGTGGAAGCTGTATAAGAAACAATGTAAAAGTGGATAAAGTTCCTTTTGAGAAAATAAAAAAGCGGGATTTTACATTAAATCAAGAGGAACTGAGCGCTAACTCGTGAGCCGTGGGCATATGACAAGAGCCTTGTGGACAAGGCTCATAAGTCATAAGTCCAAGAGTCTCGCCACCGATCTCCCTGTCGTGGCTCCTCGAACGTTGCCGCTGACGTCACTGGCGCTTTTAAATTCCTATTCATTCATGTGGCCCGAGCACTAACGAGTACACCCCATCTTTTCACCTCCACATACTTCTAATTGCATAAATACGCCCATTTTAGTGTTGTTATGTCAACACTTGCTCCGTGTTTTTGAATTCATCTGTACAATGGGTCAATCTTGCGCCAGCGCTAAATAGATAACATTAATCCATTATAGTGGTATCAACCAATTTGTATAGAGTGTAAGTTTCTTTAGTTTTCTGAGGCTTCTCAGTGTTTTTAAGAAAATTCTTGCTGCAATATTTGCCAAGTATTTTTTTCAAAATCGTGGGACTAGTTTTTGAAAAATGTTCACTCGTAATTTGTTCACGATATTTTTCTTTGCACAGGCTACGTGCCCTGAAAAATTGGTCGAATTTTGATACTTGTACGCTCTATCTTCTAGCGAAATCTTCTAAAATTTCAGGAAAATTAGGAGAGTAAGTGTGATATTCAGGGTGCGTTAGGCAGGAAATTTATTTTTTCCGTTGGATCAAATGTTCCTTACGGTCTCTCAGGAATGATTCTCATGAATGATCTCATATGGAATCCCGGCAGATTCTTTGCCCTCTATTTTTTTTATTTATTTATTTATTTTTTTTTTTTTTTTCAAAGGTAGCAAGCACTAATGAG